GATGTCAAGGGTGAGCGTATGGGACTAGGGCCCGCTTGCATCTTGCTAATACATTATATGTCACAAACTTTCAACGAGAGGTAAGGAGCAAACGATGCATTAAACTGCAGCATGGCTGTAATAGTCCACCACAGTTCTTTAGGACCGAGTGTCTGAACTGTGCCCGCTTCACAGAAGTCTAGTTTACGTTTAAGGGGTTTGCTAGATAGGAACAACGAAGCCTAAGGCAATGAATAATATTTAGCTCACAATGAAAAGTAGTTCATTCAAATCTCTCACTAACAGATAATTCACAAAAGAACAAATAAGTAATGTTTAAATAAATTACATTGGCATTTAGACTTGGGAAGCAAGGGGGTTCTTTTTTCTAATTTATACTCAAATGACATTTTAATTTTCTCGCGTTTAAAATCTCAAATTAAAACTTGAATATTCATCGTAGTTACCAATGGCGCATGTGAACATTATGGCATTTATTATTCTTCTATAGCTTTAAAATCCGCCTTCGAATACTAGAGTATGTTGAAAACTCGTTGATCGTCTGAGGTTATGGATGTCATTCGAATCCTTGCTATCGCCGCAACCCCCTGATACACGGCCTAACTTGCTTCTGTTAAGACCAGCGTCAAGAGACGCCTTGCTACAGCTGTTTGTTGACTGAGACAATTTCGTGATTAGGTCAAGCCGTTCCACTACCGCAGCCATCTCATCATTGACGAGGAACTAATAGAGAACTCGTTACATCGTCTTACGTTATCCGAATTTGCATATGTATCTGTCTCTGTGTTCACTGATGAAACGAGTCTTTTTCAAAAAGCACACAAATTCGTTTGTTCGGCCATCAATTTTTTTCGGCATAAATTGTTTAGTAGGACACAGTTGAGCATCAAATGTCACAGACAATAAACTACTAAAGAAAAAACAGAGTAGTAATCAAATTAAACAAACAAATGTTGTACCTTGGTCTTCAACTTTACAATAACGCTTAATGATGAAAAATTGTCTCTTGGGGTACCAACCGGATAGCACCTGTTGAACTTCTTCGAACTTAGGTATTGAATCAGAGTGAAATGACTCCTTGCGGGTTAAACAGATATAAGGATTTCCAGGCTAATTCTAGAAAGGATATCCTCTGTTCCGATGAAACATAAAATTAAACATTTCCTTAATAAGGAGATAAAGAGGATTTGCTTATATCAACAGTCTTCACCGGGGAAACGCAAGCCTGTATTTGCTTCAGTGAGGTCACTGAACCGTTTGCATAGCGGGTAGCTGAGTTTGTGTTAGTACAACAACGCGCTTAAACGAAAAGACTTCAACGCTATCGGTTGGCAGTTCAGAGCTGAAAATAGAGACTTTTTTAATTTATCGCTGGAACCGATACTCAGTGGTTTGGTCTCAAAGGAGGGTTCCTTTTAGCCTTTATGCATGCGTACAGGCAATTTCGAAACGCTGTTTCATTGCCAATAAAATAACGCAAAGGCTTTAGTTTATATAATAGAATAATATGCATTTCCAAACAATTCTGAATGACTAATACCTTTGTGAGAAACGTATTCTCCATTAGTTGAAGCTTTATTTTATAGTCAAATTTTTTGATAGTTTTTGGTTTTTTATTGATAGTTTGATCAGTAACCTGCTATAGTGAACCTTCATAGAAATAACGTCGATCGTATCTGTTGCTGTCGACGCTGTATCATCCCGATTTCTACTAACCGATTGCCTACTCTATGTTACCGTACCAATAGCAAACGTACGTGATCGAAAATTTACATGATTCTAACAGGATATCCTTTGAGAAGAGCCAGCAAATACTCTAGAGATGACAGGGATAACATTTCATTGGAGAGAAGTTACGACCAGATGGGAAGAGGTCTTCAGGACCTGTAAGTCAGGCGGAACTGCTAGGCATACGTCCACGTGTTTGGCTTAAGTCCCGCTCAGAGTCACGCTGAAATCGGACAGCCTGCGTACATAATAAATCTATCGTAATAAACATTTCACATTTTCTGTCTTAACTAACAATGACATAACACCTGGAGGCTTTGATCAATTACTTCCATATCTTTTTTTTAGGCCTTTGTTAGATTTTTACCATGTATTCGAGGATAGATACTATAATATTATATAATTAGTGTTGATGGCTGATCTCAAATTTTACGTTGGTTACCCACTAAATATCTATCCAATTAATATATCTTGTAGATTAATTTCTGTTGATATCTATACGAATCTATATGCTAAAAATTCGTCGCTACGCTTCATGTGCTAGTTACAAACACGTATTAAGTTATATTTGGTTTCTACTACAATAGAGGTACTGGATATTGTCCATTATCAGCTTACTAACGTTCATAATGATTCATGTATAACACAAAATCTTCCATCCGATAGTCATTAAATGGTCGATACGGGACTGTCTGCGACAAAGCGTGGCGGCCTTGTCTAAAACTTACATTTATTGTTGATCTTACGCTCAGGAGTCATCGACATTAGTACTCCTAACGATTGAATTCGTATCTGTTAGGTCAAATGTCGATTCTCTCGATAGCTTCGATAGCTGTAGGCCCATGGTTTTCTCTTCGTGGATAGTCGTGCACACCGAGCCTTCCTTCTGACGAAAGCGCTTCGTGTTCCTCTTTCGACGTCTTGACTTGTCTCAGTGACGTTGACAAACCAGACTAGAATCGTCAACTTTACTCTTTGTAGTAATTAGTCCAAGTAGAAAATCCTGCACAGTCGATAGACGAAGCCGTTTTACGGTCGACTGAAGGACCGGCCATTGTGATGGAATTGCACGCAATAGAAAAGGTGCCGTCGTTGTGAACAGTTTTCGGGTCAAACACCTGTTCTTATCGATAGATAGTGGGCGAATAAAGGATGCGCGAGCGAAGGCGGACAAAAGGACGGCTGGTAAAGGATCTTAATGGGAAGAAATGCTGCAAGCTAAAAGATCTATAATAATAGCCAATTTCCTTTGTTGCCCTGGGCTAGTTACAAAGCTGTCAACCCGCCCGATTGGTGTCTCTTCGCTGAGATCAAAAAGGGCGTTTCCAGGGGCTGGTCGTCAGTGGCGACATTGTGGCGTCTTTGCTCGTTACTAAGCGCGCACAACTGATTACGCGAATCTGATTTACGATATAGATGCGATAAAGAATGCCTATACGAAATGTACGAGCGGCTCGGATACTTGTTCTAAATATAGCTGTTTATGGGTCTGTAGACGATGACCTACTATAGGTGTCGCTGTGGTGCAGGCTGACCACGTTAATTGACTGATATGATAATCAGTTTGTCTGATCTTCGTACACGTATAATCGAGGAAATTAATCGAAGTGTGTGCGTTCTGTCTAGCTGCACTCTTCCGCCAGTTCAAACCGATTTTATTTTGGATTTCTTTTTTCCCCACGTTTAATAAATCGTGGGAGAGCTTCGTGTAAAGGAAGAGCTGCACGGATCCCCAAACGCATCTATTTTCTTTTGACTAAAGGGCGTCAATACCATGACTGTAATGCATTTTCTTCCGCCTAAACGAACGCTGCTGGTTCACGGATAGCTTGAGTAAAATCTAGTCGCTTAAGAATTCAGGTAGTACAATAATGGGGATCGTAGGCGTTGCTTATATTGCGGTCGTGTGACAAGCGAACAGCTTTCAGCGAAGATACCTTGTTTCTACGCTGTGCCATGATATATTCACGCTAGAACTATCCGAGCTTGTATTATATCGAGCGTCTTTGATTATATGGAACGTTCACTCTCGTGTGTGACGATGAAGTTTTAAAAAGTTAAGCAATCTTGACATTGAGTAAAGTTTGCTGTTCAAAGAAACGGAAGACTAGGCAAAGTTAGAAAAGAAGCAGAAGAAACCGCGAATACAAAAAGAGATTTCCTATTGATAAGTGTACTTTAATTGGAATCTTGTGCGTTTTCTTATTCTGTATAACAATTCCATGGTTCCGATTCGGTAACAGTATACAGGCTTTGATATTGCTAAAAAGCATCAGCATACATATAGATAATTGCTCATTCGAAATCTCAGCAGCTCAATGACTTAATATACTGCAAAGGCGAACGCCTCCGTTGGTCCTGCTGAAGTAGTAGTAGTGATGGACTTCAGTCTATCTTCAACAATCTAATCCAAGAATCGCATGTAGTCCAAAAATTAAACCGTCAGGTAACGGTTACTAATAATGCTTATACACACACCTACGTTTTATCGACAGCTTAAAGGCGTTACAAGCTGTTTGTACTTTAAATCAATGAACAACAATCAGCATCATTATGTCATGAAGCTCAACAGTATCGTATGTACACTCTCTCTGTTCTCATGGGCCAACTGGAAAGAACGAGCGAACGACAAAAGCCTTTACAACAACTTTAACCTAACACTGTCCTGAACTTCCTGCCGGCGGAAGATTTTGGAAACAAATATTTATTTTTTTTTTTTCTTCTTTATTAGAACAATCGGCGAAATTCGAGAAAACAGAGCTTAAAAGATAGGCATTTTTAAGCAGCGCTAGTTTCAAATCTTCACACAGTAGTAATGGCGAAAGGGGAAATAACTTACTTTCGTTGTAGGCCGTCCACAAAATTAACTTAAGTTCATCTCTTCATTTTGCCCCTTTCGTATTACTAAAAATAATAGAGTCAATATGTATGTGTCAAAAGAAGACATGTTGTGATATATGCATTATGGTACGCCTCATATATACGGACTATTATCGATAATTTTTAGCTATATAGCTAGCATCGAATCTTTACCAGGCGTTTTTTTGTGTTCATTTGTCAATTTGCTATTGCATCGGCTCTGATTTGCATGGCACACCGTAGATGATTCTTGGTGACAACTTGGGGAGGGGGGGGTGGGGGTCACGTTTGTAGCCCGCCGTAACTTAGAACTTAACAATAATAACAGGAACAATCATCGTAGCTAATAGAGGTGTTAACAAAGAGGTCGTTTGGTTCTGGCTTGATTTTTTTTAAATGTTCTAATATTTTAGTGACTGCTGTAACTTCGTCGGTTTTAACGTTGTCGGCCATCGCGTGTGATCGTTTCGTGGCGACGTTATTCCCATTTCATGTACGGACAACGGAAAGGCGGACCAACGTCGTGCTCGGTCTCATCTGGCTACTGTCAGCGGCGACGGCGTCGCCATTGTTGATCTACACGACACCCATCGTTGTACAGGTACGCCTCCATACTCAGTGAATCGAGTTAATTTTAGCTAAACGCAGAACATAAGGATAGACGGAGGAAAAACAGATTTCCGCCCTTGAAAAATGTTGCCCTTATTCATAAAATGATTTGACAGCCGAGAAAACGAAAATTTACAATTGAGCTAAAAGTGGAAATCTAGTACACTAATCTATATTATTGCACAGAAGGATATGCATGTATTGAATACTATGATTATTATTACACACTTTATTACGTAATGAGAACGTCACAATATGGAGTGACGCAAATTCCCTCAATAAACATCTTCACTGCATATTCAGATATGCTCACAGTCGGCTGGCTACGCTGCGAGGTTCATTGACGCAAAACTCCTTGTTGTAATAGATCTCTTCACATAAATTGACGATTTACATTTTCGATAGGAACGGCTTTGTTGGAGAAAATGATTTCGGTCCTTTCATAATAGCAGGCTTGCTGTGCTATGATCAATTGCGTATTCTTCATCCTCTAACTAACTAACGAGTGTTTTTAATTGATCAATAAACACGAGCACGGCGATTCAGTGCTTCAGAAAGCCTAAAATGAACTTCATCAAATAACTCGACTTTTTCAAGGGCCATCCTTTTTCGTTACGAACTACTTCGTAAAACTGCAAACGGTGATCCGGATAATTTCCTAACAGAGTATACTTCGGTCTTGGTTGAGGCACCATGAAATTCACAAATGTCATTATATATATCTGAGCGATCAACAGCAATCCTCTGTTTAGGTTATCGGGACGATCGACACAATTGGATACTAACACGCAATTTTGTTGCCGGCTTTAGTTGCAAACCGATCACTCTCCGGAGCATTACAGATGGATCCTGTTTCTTGGACCTTGCCTTAAACTTTGTAAATCTCTGGCTCGGAATAAACGAGTGGTCCCAAGCTTATGAAGGCAATTTTGGTTTGTGTTCTCGGTCCCAAACAACAGCCTAAGCACACGTTTGGATCTTTTAAAACTGAGCTTTTTAGCTATCATTTGCTGCAGAGCAAAAATGATAGAGCGAATTTACCTGCGATTAGATGTCTTTACGGTTATTCCATGCTACAGAGGCAAAAAGTCGACTAAACGATACTATTCGCAAGCCAAAGTTTTCACAGGGATCTCAGAACTGGCACGTGCGACGTACGGTTACTTCAAATGTAACTCACATAGCTTAGCTTAACTCTGTTGGCCTGCGATAAAATGCAAATGTTTCCCTCGAGCTTTATGCAATGCAAATATGTTCACTAGCCATACGAGGGAGCAATTATTAATGCAGATACCACTACATTATTTTCAGGCCGTCGAATAGCGTTCGTGTGATAATGAGTAATGGCATTGCACTTGCAAATAAGCAATGCATACGTTTGGTACTTTTTGCGTGTAGATACAGATTACCACCTTTGTTTTTACCTCCGCGATAAAGTCAGCTATTCAAGGCTTACAAATCAATTGCATTCTGTTGACGTTGGCCTTTGTACAGATACCGGGAGATGCAGCAATTTTGCAGCCATCAGATTTCTATTTGTTGAACTTGATAACATTATCGAGTTATCATCCAGTATCCTCCAAGGCTCTTGCCTTTGACCGACTCGTTTTCATTTTGATCCTAGATATAGTTATACTTATATCACATCCCTTACAATTTCCAGTCGAAATACCACTGTCCTTGGCTGTCCTTCGAAGCCATGGCTGAAAAAGTATCTGTAAAATAACTCCACGTGGCTGTGGAGAAGAGCAATGTCCGTTGAGTCGGCTACTTTTTGCCCGGATACCTTTTCCTCTATTTATGTTTAATTAGCAACATGGTCGTCACATCGCCAGGACAGCCTACAGCGTTTATGATAAGCCGGTGCCGTCTGCACAGAATCTCCAGGAGGAATGACCCTTCTGGGGGTTCGTAGCGTTGCCGACCCCACAGTAAAATGCGATGAGCTCTTAAGGTAACAGAAACGAACTGAACAGATAGTAACGAGTCGCTGCTTTGGTTAGGACTATAGGGACTACAATATATCGCAATTTAGGGGATTACTTAGAGCGCTTTGCCGTCTTCTTGGGGTTGAGCTTCGGGCTTAGCCTGGATGAGGACTACCTGACTCTACCGATCGTTTGCAGAGATTGAGACAACAGGAAAGTTGTACCGCTGCATGCTGAGTAGAAATAGCGTAGGACCTGGCGGTTCAGGTGCCGATTGAAATCTTGCCTCAAAAACAAAGTGAGTTGTTGGAAATCGTATATAAGTAAAAACTGCTTTACAAACAGATAATACGTAAATGCCTCAGTGTTACGAGGAGAACGCTATGAGCACTTCGATTCCTAAATGTTCTATACTTTGCTTAAAAATGAGCACAAGTGCCCTCTTATTCGAGACTCTGTCCTTGTGATTAAGCCAATAGAAAACTTTGGTAGGTATCCAGCACCCTCTTGAAGCCTCAAAATCTATCCTGTACAGATGATGCAGTAGGCACGAGAATGCCTTATTGATAAACTACCCTCGGTCCCTGTTTATTTTTAGCTCGGCACTGTATATGCATGATCTATATACATATGGACTTTTCATATGTGTAGATATGATTGCATATAAAATTTGAAGGTGTTTCAAAGTGTCCGAAGTCTACCTCAGGAGGAGACTGATTACATTACCCGTTGAAACGGCTAGTAACGAAAGGATACATATAAATTTTTTATGCGTAGAAAGCACAAAGGCGATATTAGATCGCTTTATTGTATTTTATAAATCATTAAGTGCACGTATATGTCCACCGCATGTTTGACCAGATAAAGCTGACTTGATTTGGCATCACATGGAGCACAACGGACCTACGGACCGGAAACCGGGTTGCCCAGGTTTTTAACGACGATTAGCTGCTACAAAGTATGCATCTAATTGAGTGGTTTAGTTGAACTCGTTTGGTCAATAATCACCGTTTTAAAATATCGACCAGGACTTTACAAGTGTGTATAAATTAGCTAAGCTGGGTCAGGCATTGGGATCGTCTTTCTTTCTAAAAGGAAAAAAGGAAATCTGCAAGCCTCGAGAAGTAACTATTTCTATTATCGCATGGGCATCACCATATGATATATTAGTAACTTAAAATAGTCGGTTAGAATAGAAGGCTCATTGAAAAAATCGATTATCCGTTTAGCACTGTTTGTATGTTACGTTCAATTAAGTGTTAATCTACGAGAAAAAATTATTATTAACGTTACAAACATGTTTAACGGTACCATCGCCTACGTTCAAGTTCAGGTTATCGCTTCGTATCAGCTCCTATCATGCGAGCGCTAAGCATCTACTGAGTACGTCTGAATGTACAATTGTACCACCTGAACGACCACTAACGTAAAACCGTTACAGTTAACTTTGTTTTTAAGCAAGTATAATAAGTATATGTGTGCCCTTACTGAGAGGACGACTTGAGAGGATATTCCTATGGCAAATATCATAGATTTAACGCAATACGTTAGTGGAGCGTCAGGCGCCTTTAATTGAACTCTTGATTCTGCACCGGATGTAAGTGCCACACCCCACGGCAATGATTCATTTATTTGAATACGTGCTCGAATTTCTTAAATCGGCCATTTATTATTATATCATTCATCGTATCTAATTAAATACGTGATCTTGGTAGCAGTATCAATTATAGCTATGCCGTTTCAAGCAGAACGATCGTCGGCGAAATCTGAGAATTGCTATCTGCGTTCACTTCTTCGTGATTAGACATATTTGCAAGTGAAATAGTTTGTAAGTGCCCGACAAAAACAGAAAAATTAACGTTCGATTAGTAAGACAATTTACGGCACGATCGGCACTCGACCATAGAAACAACGCGACCATCGTTTTGAGCCTGCTATTCACTTAGTTCTACGTAATCGCATCCAGCGAATATTAAGCGGGTAGGTAACGCATCCCATAATCATTAGCCATACGATACTTTAAGCGCAATGATCGACTATAGGATGAGGTCGCTATCGTCGAATGACGCTGCGGCGGTAAATTCAAACGTAACGAGAGCATATAGTACGCAGGCAAGCAAGCATAGCCTCTCTCATTGGACACAGTCAGTGAGAGAACAAGAGTATTTTTATGTCAAACTTACTCCTTACAACCTTTTGTTTCTTTATTTTTTACGAAAATATCTCTTAGAAATGGCGTGGCTAAAGTTTTGCTCACGCAGCACAAGCAACAATAGCATTATGACTATTATTCGGTTCGACAATTCGAACGCGTATAGTCTTGAGGTACGAGGGCAAAGTAGCAAAACTGTAAGCTGCTGATAGGGTCAAAGAAAAGGGCAATCGGTTCCGGGCAACGCCAAAGCGATCTAGTATCTAGCAGAAAAGTGAATGAGCTGTGAGCGTTCAAGGGGAATTGATTAGGCCTGTCTTTCGCTAAACGAGGCACTTGGCTAAGTTTGTTCTTGCATTTGACTTGCCAATGATGAGTTTCTCGAAAATGTTCGTATTGTCCTGGTGCTTCTAGTAGCGGAAAACAAAATATTACCGTAACACTAGATGGCCTTAAGTATCTATAGATAATTAGTTATTTCCAAAGACTTTTTCGTCGCATTGCTTGCGCTGCCTTAAAGACCCTTTATGGTCCGGACGAGAAAAAGCTATATAGGAACCTGAACGACACGTACACAAGGTGGACACATCTTACGTGCTAGTCACAAATTGAGATATAGTGATAACTGGCAAGAATCTAATCGTGTTTCCGATAAATCTTAGCAGTGAGATCTTAAGCGGCAAAGAAAGACTTGTTCTCGTCAAGGTGCGCCCCTGCGTACACTAGCCATGTCACGGTTAATTCAAAGTTTTTTTTCCATAGAAATGCGCCGTGCCTAATTTTTTTGAGGCCAATACCCTCATCGTAAGCTAAAGAACCCTGCCACAGTTAATATACTGACTGCGTCTCATGATCATTTGTTTATTGGTTTAATTGTGTGGGCATATATATGGGCATTCGTTATTACACTGA